CCCCCCACCCCCCACCCCCCGGTATGGAGCACTCTGTCATGGTCAGGACTCTTTTATCTTTCCATCCTTTGCCTGGGTGGCTGCTCTTGAATTGTTGGAAAAGTCAATTTTAGAGGCAAACAGCCTGTGGCCAGAGGGTGCCTTCAAGTTAATAATGAATCATTTTGTGGTCATCATTCAAGCATCTGTGGTGGGATTTTGGAAAGAAGGAAGGTTGGCATAGATTGTGGCTTTGAATGAGCAGAGGCCCTATAAGGGCTGCTCTTTCCGAGCTCGGCTCACTTCTGAATTTCCTTTTTTAACAGCCAGCAAGTCAGCTAATGGGCTCGCCTATTACAGAAGGCAACAACTGTCAAAGTGCTAATTTTCTGGAAACCATCTGAACCTCTTCCTTTTCAGATGGCTGTTTCAGTACATGAAAATATTGCCATTAAAACTCCCAAACTCTGGCCATTAGCACAGAGCTAAATCTAGTCCGCCCAGAAAAGACCTGGAATGGAGTCTCGGTATGGTTTGCTGCCGGTCATCTGCAGCTGGTGACCCTCCTGTCCTTGCACAATGTGTAATGTTTAGAGAAACTGAACGTCTCATGCACGAGACCGTGATGAGCTTTTTATTCTCTTGCTTATTTGGGTCTTGGCAGAGCCATGCTCCATGTGTGTCAGATTCAGTCGTTTCTGAGTACTGAGGGCTTTCAGGGAGTAACATTTCATGGAGCCAAGACAACAGCTGCCTTGCAATAGTATGACATCCAAAACAAACGCTAGAGATGATTGGAGGCCTCTTAGCTTCCTAGAGGCCTCCAGAGCTACCAACTTCCTTCTTCTGCTTAATTCTTCGTGTTCCAAATGTTTGGACTTAAGATCCACTGATGCTCCCTGGCCCATAATTAAGAAGAATAAGCTTTAATCAGGAGAGGGAGAGGCTCCTACTTGAACACACGCACCCCATGCCTGCTTTCAAGAAGCTAATTACAAGAAGCGCCCAACGTTTACATCAGTGTTGGGGCAGGTGGAGGTAATTCTAGGTTGATAGCTTTTCTAAACCAGTGTTTCTCCACCTCAGCAACTTGAAGATATATGGACTTCAACTCCCAGAATTCCCCAGCCAGTGCTGAAGTCCACACATCTTCAAGTTGCTGAGGCTGAGAAACACTGTCCTCAACCACCAACAGTCTTGGCCTTACGTGCGGAGTTTGCAGTAAAAACAATAGAAATAAAAAAGCTTTTGCTTTCAGCAGCTTGCTTATTTCACCAATTATGTTGGTGAATATTTCATGTTGGAACTTTCCCATTAGGGCTTTGGGGGGGAAATGTGGCAGGTTTTGCTCTCGTGGAGAGAGTGTATGTGTGAATTCACGTGCACCTTTGATCACACCGTCTGTCTTTCAGTGCTCAAAATAGCTCTCTTACCAAGTCTGGGCACATGGCCTTCTCAGAAGGCCCTGCAGAGAAGCATTTGAATTTTCCAAGTGGTAACAGCTCAGAGCTACGCCAAACAGACAGTGGTCCCTCCAGGGCGCCAAATGTCTGGGGATATGGATAACAGTCAAGGTTAATAAAATATTTGACACAATTGTGCCAATGCTGTTTAAAGCTGTTCTTTGCAGGTGGATAGAAGAGGCTCAGCATAATGAACCCTGATAGGTAGCATTTGGCAAAAGAATTCTGTGCTTTTGTTTTCTTGATGGAAAGGTCTCTCCTAAGGACAGAAACGCTCTCTCCTAAGCTTGGTTATACTAGGGAAGTGATTTAGAAAATCGTATCTAAGCTGTTCTCTTACAGCTGCTTAAAATGTGTGCCCATCCGCTAAATACTTTCTGGAAACAGGAAAGCTCCCCATTTTTCTTGACTCCAGAACCAAGAGGAGGATTGAAGGGGACTGATTGGGATTCACAGGAACAATGAGTGGAAGATGCCCTTGTAATTTCAAAGAAGCGCTGCCTTCTCTGCGGGAGTGATTTATTTTATAACCTACATTCCCCCGAATGATCTTTTCACCTTTCATGGGTTTTATCATCTTGGTGTAACCAGTCTGTAGTTGTCACAAATTTTATTTTTGTAATATTAATATTGCAAGCATAGAAACCCTTCAAAAGTGTGTATCAGCAATGCAGCTCCATGTCTTTGGTTTTGCAAGGACAAGGCTCTGAAGCTCTGGGGTATAACCCTTGGCCCTATTTACTCTGCCAGGGGAAGCAGCTTGGCACATCCGCCCTCTTGTATCTGTAGGTCTTCTGCCGATACTGAAGCCAGTGCAGGAAGCGAGCGGTATAGGATTGCTCCATAAGAGCAGTCTTCTGGGAAACTCTAAATTGGGGTGGGTAGCTGAATCCTGGTAGCCCGTGCATAATTTAAATGACCAACGTCGACTTCTAGTTCTTCGGTTTGGGCTGAATGTGTTTTCCAGCAAGTTTATTGGGACAGGTAATTAGTGCAGGAGCTCCAGCTGAACTGGCAGTATTTGCTGTTAATTAAAACATTGCTAAGGTGTCCAGTTTTCTTTCAGAGTAACCAAAGTTCCCATTCAGACTCCATTAATCACTTTACAGTGAGCGTGGTAGAGAAGGTCAAAACAATGGAGATGTCATGGCGGTTAGGAATAAGCCCATTTCTTCCAGGGAGTTGTGGCTCTTGCAGGATCCAGGGGTGCTCTGTGCCCCACAGGCACACTATCTGCTTTGTGATCCCTTCCTCAATGATAATTAAATGTTAAATTGCTAGTGTCAGTGCTCTGTAAACCAAACCAGGTACTTGCTCTTTGCTGGAAATTTAACCCAAACTTCCACGGATGAATTGGCGTGCATCATAATTAAATCATCAAGTCTTTCCTTTTAATTCACTTGAAAACAAGAGACCACCCCTCCCTTTCAGAGAAGAAGGAGGGGAAAGAAAAGATCGGCTTTCTTGACAAGCTAATTAAGTTGCCAAACTGCCCAGTGCAGCACATATTAAGCTAACAGACGTTAAGCACGCTATCTCAGCGGCATGTTTTGTTATCATTCTGCTGATCTGAAAGTCAAAATGTTTTGCCGCTGTTCACCCATAGTTTATGGTTCATTTTACCTACTCTGATACAATGACTGTGCTTTCCACTGTTGGCCTCTCAGCAATCCCTTTGGGAAGGTTAATTCTTGCACTGAAATAATTTTTCGTATGGTGTATTTAGGATTTACTTACAGAGTGATAATTTTTAAATGCTTAAATTCCATTTGCAAACACAAGTAATCTTTTTTGTGCAATATTTTTTGGAGGAAGATACTTTTTAAAATTCACTAAAGGGCAGAAATCAGATGCGTAGGCCTAGAATGGGGAACACATGGCTTGGTAATAGTACTTGGGAGAAACTTTGAACGGTAGCTGATGGCAAACTGAATGGAATCAGCAGGGTAATCCAACTGCAAAAAATGTCAAATACAGTTTCAAAGTACACCAAGAGAAGCATGGTTTCTACATTGTGTGAAGTAATCGTTCCACTTTATTCTACTTTGTTCAGACCCCATCTTAAGTACTCTATCCACTTCTGGGCACCACATTTTAAGATCGATTCCTAGAACCTGAAACAGGTTTGGAGAAGAGAAACATGGATGATTAGGGGACTAGAAACTGAGTCTTATGAAGAGAGATTGAAGGAGCTAGAATGTTTAGCCTTCAGGGAGAAGAGCAGGTGTGGGAAGACGTGACAGCCCTCTTCAAATACCTGAAAGGTTGCCACACAGAAAAGGGTCGAGATCTGTTCTCTCTTGTTTCAGAGTGAAGGACATGAAATAATGGATTTAAGTTACAGGAAAACAAATTTCAGCTGAACAGTAGGAAAAAACTTACCAGCCATAAGAATAGTTTGACGTGGAACAGTGATCCAAAGGAGTGATGGCCTCCTATTCATTTGGTGTGTTCAAGCAGAAGCTGGACACGCATCTGTCTGGGACGCTTGAATTTGGATTCCTGCCCAAAGCCGGGAGTTTGACTTGAGTGCCTCAGTGGCCCCCTCCCACTCGGATTCCACAGTTGAACTCAGACCATGGGAACTTCAGCTTGGTTCTGTGGGCACTTCCTTATGTTGAGAGATATCACACCGAAGGATCACTTTTTAGACCAGTCCTCACTTTCTGTGCTTGGGTTTGCCTGATCTTTCCTGGGCGTTTGCTTTGGAAAGGCGCCAGAAACGGGAGACTCGTGGAGTTGTTAGCTGACCGTGTTGCATGGCTGATAGGCTTTATTCAGCTTGATAAGTCACACGTTGCCCAGGATTGATTTTTGTTTTGCTGTTCGGGTATGGAATGGACTGCATCCCTGAAACTGGGGCTTGTTGCATAGATCACTCTAACGCACAAGTTCAATTGCTCAAGAATGCCATTAGCGAGAAACTTTAACACGTATAACGTAAAACTTAAAATATGACTGTGATTTTTCTTGGCTTTAAACTGACTGTCGTCTTCTTTGGATGCAGAGCAAACCATGTCCCCAGTGGGAAAATACTAGCTGTAAAGGTAAGTTTGTTCACAAATCTGCTTTAAAGGATTCTCCTGCCCCAGTCTCCGTTTTCTGGTGCCTCCATCTGGCTTTATTACATGAAAGCAATTTTTGCAGTGAACACGCACCACACCAAAGGGTGCAATTTATAAGTGAGAAAATACAGAGCAGTCTGGTGGCACAACTCGGTCCTGAGAGGAATACCGGCTGGAAAGACTTCTAATCTATTGCAGAACTGACAACGATGGTTTTATATTAGCATTTTTTTTTTTTTTAAGCATACAGATTCTCTACAGGTGTTCGGGGGGGCCTTTCTCCAGTTCAGTCTTTAATTTGATCATGTGGTTATTTAACTATCTGAGGTCAGCTTCCCAGTGTATCCCGTAAGTTTGCTCACGTTTGACTGTTAAATTGTGGTTTCTTCTCTTTCCTCTTGGTTGTGTACTTTCAAAAATCCTCATAAATGCCTTAAAAAAGAAAGTGAAAGCTTTTATGTCTGCTCCAGGGCTGAGTGCTTTGGTATTCCTGATGCCTGTCTGCAGAGATCTCTAGCTTTTTTCTGAAGGAGAATGACAAATAACCTGAAGAAAGAGTTCTCTCCCAAATTCTTCTCCTCCATCTTGATGTTCTGGTAGAACAACACATTCTTCTTAAAATTGCGTTCTCTTAAGGTTCATTTTTCACCACCCCTAAACATTTTTACTGGATATTTATACCCTCATGTAGGTGAACACTCACCTTGGCACACTCAGATGCTCTAGCCTCCATGGTACAAATGGAGTTTCAGTCATCTCCCCTATCATGAGCATTTCTGTGTAGGTTCAGATACTGAAGTTGAGAGACTCATACATGTACTTCTGAAATGTCCTATCATCCTTGGGAGGGGGAAGAAAATTCCCCAAAAGAGAAAAAGAAAACCCAGTTGCAAATTATCTGGATTGGTCCCAACAAGCAATAATGTGTCTCTTATTAATCAATCAGGACTGTGAGGTTTCTAGAAAGGTAGCCAAATTCTGCGCTATAGTAACGGTGGACGGAAGTCATTGGATCGGAACACGGTCTGGCCCCCTTAGTCTCATCTGTGAATGGATGTTTTGTATCTTAACTTTGTTTTTTTTTAAATCTATGACTGTATATTCTTTAATCTTTTTTAAAAAAAAAATACAGAATTTCTTTGTAACATTCAACATTTCTTAGAAGAATTAAATCTGCTGCCAAATAATGGGATCCTGACCTCAAATATTTCCTCTGCTAGAAATCAAGGTTTAGAAAGTGATAGACCGGTTTCACTCTGAACATAGCCATTGTGTTGTTAGAGCAAAGAGGTGGCTGTAGCCATTCATAGCAACATCAGGGCCAGCAGCTTGGAAGTGAAACAGACCCAGACCTGAAAGAGCCACTGGATTATAGTGGTTAGAGCAGTCTTCTCCAGTTTTGGTGCCCTCCAGAGGCCTGAGTTTAGCTCCCAGAATTCCTAGCAATGGCCATGGTGGCTGGAGAAGTCCACACATTATGAAGTTGGTGAAGGCACTGCATTGCAGCACTGAGCTAGGACTCAAGTCATGTTCTCCTCCCACTTTCAGTCAAGAAGTTCCAGGATGGTGATCATAACCAGGCATTTTTTTCCACCCCGTTGTGGAATGATGATAGGAGTTAAATCTGCTCCATTGAGACTCTTGGAGGGAAGGTTGGAGATATACAGAAGTAACACTAGTTGTACCAGATGACAGCCAAATGATAGGTTGAAACCTGTAGTCTGTTCGAATTTAGCCCTGGGTGATTAATTTTTTTGGATTAGGGAAAAGCACAAGGGGAATTTCGTTCTGACCACACCAGGAGTATATGCCTATTATTTTTTATCCTTACTTCCTACGTCTTCAAGCCACAAGTGTAGCCCAGCAATTCCATCCACGGTAGCGGAGTGGTCAAAGCACCTTTGTTTGATTGCCAGAGGTACCAAGTCCTTTAAAATATTCCCTGGGATGTTGCAAATTATTAAATCTGGCTCTTTGATAGTGGAATGAATTGTCTCCATCTACAGACAATGGTAAAAAAAAATCCCATGTAGATTATGTTGAAAGTGTAAGAAATCAGGGTGGAGGGAACCCCAAATGTAGGTTTGTGACCAGGTCCTGGCCATCTTTTCCAAGGCCTCCATCCCCTGGTGCGGTCAACGCTTGTTAGATGCCAAGGACTTCCTGCATTGCTGAAGCACCGGCCGCCCCATCCACGTATCGCGAGCAGTGTGGCTGCGTGCCACTCTGCCGTTCCTGGGAGTTTCTTCTGCTCTTAACTAGCATTTAAATGGTCCATTTGATTAATCATTTGTATACTGACTATCGAACTCCCAAATTTCCTCTGAGTTGTACATACTGTAACAGACAATTATATTGCCACAGATTAAATAAGTGAATTAAAATGGAATTGCAGCTTAATTTGACCTGTGATTTTGCTCTCATTCCCTTTAGTGGCACACACACCATTCTGGCAAATAGATGAAGTCATCCATGACAGCCGGTGATGAATTGCCATCGCTATACTGTATATTTTAATAGCCTCTCACTAATTTAAATTGAGCACCAAGTAAATTATAATTCCGTCACTTGAGTGCTTGTATTTAACTTGACAACTCATCCTTATTTGTCCTGGAGGTGTAGCAGAGAAAATGGCTCAGGTATTTCTGGTGGGATTAACCCTTTCTCTGTGAAATCCGCCTTGAGAAATCCCTCCTCTGCGCTGCTGCTGTTATTTAACAAAAAGGATGGGCGTCGGGCTGGGCCATTTTACTTTGGAAAACAAGGCTCGTATTCCAGGCATAGCTGTTTTCCCTGGTCCCGCGCTCTCCTTCCTTCTGTTCTCTCTGATTCGCTTTCACATCCATCATTAAAGTAATAAAATGAAATAGGGATCGGAATCCAGATGCAAATCAGGAGCCGTTACCTCTTTCTCACCCCACTGAGAGTGACTAAAATCAGATGGATCGCTAGGTGTCCGGGCATCCAGGATCTGCCCGTTCAAATACCCCAACAGCATCTTCCCAAACAGATGTGTTTTTAGCAAGCCCCGGGGAATGCGGAAGAATTTGCTTCATTTTTCACGGAGGGAGCCAGGCATGCCTGACTCCACATCAGCTGAGACCATAATTTGAATTCTCTGCTCCTTTCTGCCGTCTCCTCAGTGGAGTAGTGAGTAGGGTCAGGGTGTTGAGTCTGCTCCTTTTACCACGCAAAGCGGCCAGTCCATAGAGGCTTCTTAAAGCTGCACAGTGTATAATCGGTGTGACCTACAGCAACCCCACTGCTTCTAATACAGAGGCTTTTTATACAGCCTCGGTGCAGCGTAACGTGGACCATGCAATGTGGACATATTGTTTCAGGCAGCAGCCCCATCCCACTATTTTATATAAACCAGGGCATAGCCCTTGTAGTCTGAAAAATCAATGTACCTGTAATTTACCGCAGTTTGCAGGCTTTCTTTTTTCATTCCCTATCTTGGCTGATACTGAATTGCCTTCCGTGACATCCAGTCCGGTCAATATTCAGCGGAAGGTTTTGCAGTGGGCAAGATGGTTTTGAAGAAAGCTGAACTTCTCAAAGTTAAGAGGAAGGTTAGAGTTTAAAATGGTCTCTTTTAGAGACCATGGAGGGTTAAATTTCCATTGCTCTTTTAAGGGGCAAAATTGATACAGTTGTTCCAGCACCTTACTTTGTTTTAAGCTTTCTATCCAGGAAAAAAAATGTAAGTGAATATTGTTGGCAAATGACTATTGATTTGGAGAAATGTGTTAAATGTTTTCTTGGCAGCCTTTCTATTACAGTTACAGCTTTTATAAATAACCCTAAAGCAAATTCTTGATAGAAACCGGTTATGCTCTTTTTTCCCTGTTTAGACAGACATCAATACTGTAAAAATGTAGGTTTGGAAATCAGCTGGATGTGAGCAAGTGACTGAAAGAGTTTTCCGTTAGAAGTCAAGCTGTCAGGGACCGTGGGCTGTGCTAAATCTGCAAAACACATTTGATCCTGAAATTCCTATCCAGATTCTGAGGAATGTAGGCTCTGGCCCTGTTTTTGCCAGTCAGGGATGACATTTGGGGGAGAGAAGCATTTCCCTGGGGATTGGAGAAGTGGATTTGACCATGCAAAGAGAACCCTCAAAGCAGGTGGGATCCATTGTGACGTTTCCTAGTCTAGCAGAGACTAGATTCCAGGCCCTGGAGTTGGTGTTCCCCGGTATTAGTTGCCCTAGGATACAAATACAAACACCTACAGACATATGAGGAAAAAACATACCGGGAAGTGGAATATATCTATTGTTAGAAGTCTGGGGGCAGCCATAGGGGGGTACAAAAAGTCAGGATGGTGGCCACAAACTCACAATCGGTTGTGCTTGTTTGTGCATCTATTGCAGTACTTGTAAAAAGGCAGACTGCTTGAATTGGTTGTACCACCATCTTGATATTTTTTACCTACCTTGCAGACACCCCTGGTTAAAACTCAGTATTTTTCTGAAGTGATTGAGTTGTAGACATATATTTCCATTAGTAAAAATGTGTTGCCAAGGAGAAGTAAATTTGTTTTGGTGGCTCCCCACTAGGATACCCTGTCGTAGGATAAATCGGGTGGGTTTTGCACATGGCAGCATCTTGTCAGGGCTTGGAAGCTAAGCAGGTTTGGATCTGGTTCATACATGGATGGGAGACTGACAGGGCTACTAGGCTGGGAAATTAAAGAAACATCCCAGAAAGTGGCTATAGGGTCATGTCCACAAAGTCACCTGAGGTCAAGCTTGACTCAGAGGAGATGTGATTTTACATACTCAGAGCCAAGTTACATAGCATAACTGGCTTGGATTGGTCCCCCCTGAACAACTGTTGGTGGGGTATGGCACTGATTTAGTAGCAGTGAGGGCAAAAGTTGTGCCACCTAAAAAACATGCAAGATGATGCAGATTTGAGGTTAGACATTAAAAAAAGAAATAGTAGTGTTATTTGCTGAGTGCCATCTGATTTTCTGTAGCATTAATACTTCACTGTTTATTTCCAGGTGATCCCTTTAGATATTACACTAGAACTTCAGAAACAGATTATGTCTGAATTAGAAATTCTTTATAAGGTAATGCTTTTCTAGCACTTATTTTTCAATTCTGTATAGTGTGCAGTTTTTCCTAAAAAAAAAAAATCAACCACCTCTTTCTTTTTTTTACAGTGCGATTCATCCTACATCATAGGATTTTATGGTGCTTTTTTTGTAGAAAACAGGATTTCTCTTTGTACTGAATTTATGGATGGTAAGTGATATGCTATAAATTTGTGAAGGACCACAACAGTTTAAAAAAAGGAATTGGCAAATCAATTAGAAGAATATTGGTTTACTATACCTTAGAAGCATGAAGTGAATCCTACAGATAGTGAAAGATTTTTCTTTTTTTAAAAAGGTATTTTAAGAATAACTAACCATTTGCAAGGCTCAATACATCAGGAAGCAAGAGTTATTTCTTGATGCTGTTTCCTTGAATAGAGTTGCACAGACTTTTATTGAAAATTTAAATGTGGCAGAAATAAATGGTGGCTTATATGTGGTTTGATATTTTCCATTTCCATGCAATCTGTATTTACTGACAAAACAGCTGTTCCTCCTCCTTATAGCCTTAGTCACCAATACGGATTTTCTTTCAAAGCAGTTCTGTTTGCTCACCCTCTGCCTGGGTGTTTCTGGCAAGCTGTTGGCTGGAATAGTAGTTTAAGGGTTGATGGGATTTTTTAATGAAAATCTTAAAGATTGCTTTGCTTTGCAGTTTCATTCAGGGTAAATTTCTTGAGCACACCAACAGAGGTACCCCACCAATTGGTTGAGCAGCAAGCTATGTGCCCAGGTATCTCTGGCTGTGCCCCACAGACTGCAGGGATGTTCCCTGAGCCTCTTCATCTAGGTCAGGGTTCCTCAACCTTGGCAACTTTAAGACAAGGGGAATTCTGGGAGTTGAAGTCCACCCGTCTTAAAGTTGCCAAGGTTGAGGAACCCTGATCTAGGTGACCCTTTTTACAGAAGAGTAGTTGACTGACATTTAACTTTAACCAAGCATATTTTGTTCTCCCCTGCAGGGGGCTCTTTAGATGTCTACAGAAAAATTCCAGAACACGTATTGGGAAGAATAGCTGTAGCTGTGAGTACTTTGTGTGGGGTGTATCAGTTCCTGAAACATTTAATAAATGTGGAATTGCTTAATCACAAATGATGTGTGTAGAGGCAATAAAAGCACTTGGGGGACAAGGAAGAAAAATAAGAAAAATGGGGGAAATTAGAAACAGAAACTCTTGTAATACCTAGAAAGCAAACAGATTGATTACAGCATGCCTATTTCTGGGTTAGGGTCCACTTGAATAAATGCATATAATGAATGCATTTTAGTTCAGAGAAGCGTACACTATAATCATCTTCAAGATGCCACAGGACTCTGTGTTTCAGGGTAAATGTGTCTGTGAAAAGAGAGCAAAGCGCTCTGATTCTGCTTCGTGAGCCTTTGCACCACGCCACAGGGTGCTCTTAAGCTGAAATGACCAAATTGCAGAGAACGTGCCCTAATTTTTGAAAGCTGAGCCAAGGCCCAGTCGATGTTTGAGAAGGACGTTGCTGCACAATGGCTAAATCTGAAGCAGGCTTTGATAATTTAAGTGGTTTAAAGCATAACAAAGTTATTCTATAATGTACTATTTAATTAAATTCCTGTTTTCCACACTCATTATACATCAAGCTGACAACTGAAACCCTTTAATCTAACGCAGACAGCTATTTAGGGTTCTTTCATTGTAATTCACAGCTCGGCTTCGTCCTTTCCACTTCAGCTGCATGCGCAAAGAGCATCTTTTCATCAGCGCAGTCCCTCTGGAACATTTCCAAAAGGGTTTACTTTTTAGCCCAATGTGGTTCCTTCTGGTATGGGAGAGGCTGGGGATTTTCATTTGGACTGTTTCAGTGAGACAAAAAGTGTTTCTTTTTCCTGTTGGGATAATTTGCAAGTTACTAAATAATCACGTCGGTAACTTTCATTATCATAAAAAGGCTTTCTACATCTACATCTGGTGTGCACCCTGACAGGATGCTATTTCAGGTGGCATCTTTCAAATGTTTTATGGGGAAAGAATTCCTAGTGTGCTGAAGGCCATGCAATGAATTGGCACGCTCTTTGAAAAATGGACTTCTCACACATTTAAATCTTAAAACATCAACTCAGAGTAAGGGCACAGGAAACAACCAGGGTTATCTGATGCCAGGATAGAAACACCAACCAGTTCCTTATTTTTGAGACAGAGGCAGGGTGGGACAATTTAATCCTACCCTCCGTCCTATCTGTGAACAGCATATTGGTGGGAGATGTTGGCAAACAGACCAGGGAAGAGAATGCTAAGAGAATCCAAGAATTCTAAACTATATCTAGTTTAGTTTTATTTTAATCCCAGACCCTTGCAGTCATCTTACCACTAGATTATGAAATCTGAGTGCAAGTCTTGCTATGCCACCTCTTGGATTTCTTTCTTTGTATATTTGCTACAACCAGGGAAGGCAGCCAGGGAAGGACCAGCACCAAGCATGTTCCACCAGTATCTTGGCTAAGTTAAAGTTGGCTTGGGTTTTGCTTGCAATTTTACCCATTTATATTTTCCTTTCTGTTCTTGATGTAGTGACATCTTGCACTATATTTGAAGTGTTAATGTTGATTGTAGGTTCTTCCTCCCCTCCCCCTTGAAAGATGTGCACTTAAACTGCCAAGAAAATGAGTGATTGATGGCAGGTAAAACAACTGTTTGTGTCAAGGCTCTGTCAAGTCATTGTTATCAAACCTACTTTACTGAGTCCCTGCAATACATTCTGGAGTATCCAGTGAAAAGCTATTCTCTGCTGGCATCTCTTTAACAACTGAATGCTTAATACTTTGTGTCTGAGTTCCAGATTGGAAAATGTCCTTTTGTTTAGTGTAAATGAATAGTGAGATGTCTGATCAGTGCATAAGAGGCTACGGGAGATCTTTGGACCTGTACTTATAAAACATTCTTAAACACTGAAATGAAAATCACTCTGTTGTTCGGTTAACAATGTGCTTTTTATAGCCACTCATTCAACAGATGCATCTTACCACTAAAGCAGTTTATGAACTCTTACATGTGGGGTTTTTGTTCTCTACATCTATAGCAGTCTTATATTTAATGTTAAAAATCCATCATTTCAAACCCACGCAAATTGGGTTGCCGTTTGTAATAAAAAGAAAACTATACTTCCATCTGGTATGTGAGCTCAGCTCCCTAACATGTTGCTACAGTACATATGCAGTGAAAAACAAAAGCGCTTAGTTATCTCTTTGTTATGTGATATTACTATTTCCCCCAATACATTCTATTTCTCTCTCTCTCTCTCTCTCTCTCTCTCATAATAAAATATTTGCAAACTCAGTCTGAAAACATAAGACTAGTTGCTTTCCATCATAAGGTCTATATGTATGATCATTTTTTAATTAAGTGAAGATATATTCCCACCCCTTAGTTTATTTCAAGACATAAACATGGGTGATTTCTGGATTCCAAGAGGGAAAAAGAGCAAAAGCTTCTCTGACTCAAGTTCAACTCCCGTTGAACTTCATGGACACATCCATGGAGTTTTTTAGGCCATGCTACGGAAGAGGTTTCTCTCACCTTCTTCCAAACTTTTTGACTTCCCAGTCTAGCCTACAGCCTGGAGAGACTTACCTAAATCAGGGCAATGAATGGAAAGGATCCTACAGAGTTAATTGGGGAAAGCAGAGTTACTCTCTCTTGAGTCATGACCCAGCCAAGTCAATGGGAATGAAATAGTGAGACTGTCACCGTTTTATTTACTTTCTTTCATAATTTTTGCGTCAGTAAATAGATTTCAGTCCTAGCTCCTGAAAATAAAAATACACATCTCCATGTTATAGTTTATATTAAATATATTCAACCATTTCTTTCTCTTCCTGATTTGTAGGTTGTTAAAGGCCTTACTTATTTATGGAGCTTAAAAATTTTACATAGAGGTGAGTTGTACATTTGTTATTTCATTTTTTTCAACTAAATGTCATGATTCAGGCTAATTTCAGGAGAGAAGTCTTGAGAACTTAAAAGATTAACCAGAATTTAAGGCAACAGACTCTTCGACTCAGTGTTTACACATAGACTGGGTTGGGATTAAAAAACTAAGGTTTCAAGATAGCACTTTTGTGAGATTTCACTTTTTTCATGTATTTGGAATATTCAATACTGCAATTATGGCCCATGAAATAATAAGATGAGTTTGCTTTTGTCACCTGGCATCTTCCTGGAGCTTCTCTGATTCAGAGCTTCTTCTCTGGAGCTGGATTGTTTCCTTATCTTGCCAGACCTCTTTCCGGGGGTGACCTTTTGTCAGAGTCCCCAGTTGCTTTGTATATCTGGTCCAATGGTCTGGTATATGAATGAATGGATCTTTTTTCTTAAGGGTTGTGTTCTTGTTGTTGTTTTGTTGTTACTGTTGTTACTGTGTTATGCTGAGGGAACACATACTTCTTCCATTAGCTGATGAAACATGTAGATTTTGGTACCATGGAAGTAAAAAATGTTCAGTGTAGAACATTCTCCCAGGGAGCGTAGAACAATGTAGAACATTTTCCCAAGAAGAGAGAACCATCTAATTTGTGCAAGAGATTATATGTGCATTGCACTTGTAGCTAACCTCTCTAGAAAAAGCAGACAGACCAGGACAGCAGTCTCGACCCTACTGGGGAAGAAAAAAATCATTGTGTTGCTGCTTGTGATGAGCTCTTGGTAATCTGCATTCCTCATGGGGGATTGTATGGCACAGGTACCTTGAACTCTGGAATTCTGTACTCTGCTGGCAGGGTGTGCAAAATATCTCATTTTGAATTGTTTCAAATGCAAAACCTCAGGGGGATGCCACTGCTTTTCAGCTCCAAACACTTCCAGACTGCTCAAGGCAGGATGGTTGCAAAGTTTCACACTTGAAACGGTCCAAGATGAAAAATTTTGCGTGCCCCTCCTTATGCATACAAGATGAAGAGAGTCTAGTTTTTAAAGATTATTTTGAGGAGAATAGAATAAATAAATAAAGCAGTGGATATGTTTTTGTAATTGATGGCTTGAACGTTGACAGTTCAAGTAATGGCAAGGAAAGAGCACCCATGTTACATTTATCTCATTGTCTGGTAAAAATAGCACAGAAGGAGGTAAAATAAAAAGGCAACTTTCCTTCCTTAATAAAGCTTCTTTTATCCATTTGTTAGATTTATATTCCACATTTCCTCCAAGAGCTCAAGGTGGCATACCTAATATTCCCACCTTGTCTGTACATTTTCGTCTGATCTTTAAAAAATCTCGATTGTGACATCTTTCCTGATCTTCCTTGATGTTGAAAATCTGAATTCAGTGATCGTATGCATTTCTTGCTACCCACATTTTCACCCTTTGCCTTTGCTTGTTCTGAAAGCTCTTTGGGTCTTTTCCTCTTTCAAATGTTGGGAACATTTTCCCCCATAGCCGTTGTCATTATATCACTTATCTCATTGCTCTCTGTATAAGATAAGCAGATTGAACTGTCCCTTTCATCGATCCCATTCAGACGGTATGTTCTCAAGTCATATTTCATTGACATATCTACTCTCTTTAATTTTTAAATTTAATTGTTTGATTTGGCACCAACAATTCAAGGTCTGTTCCACAATCTCGTTTGATAATATTTTGGATGACTGGATTGTACTTCTGTTTCCTGTTCTGTTGTATGTTCTATTCTGATGTCATCCTTCTGGTCATATCCATCTATGGAGTCTCTGTTTATAGTGTTTGAAGCAGGTGTTCGCAGCAATAAAGAATTCTCTTTGCAAAACTATTAACCCACTTCCCATATTATTGTGTTTACCGAATTGAATTCTCCCTATAATTGCAGGTTTCTTCATTTCTCCAGTTTATGCATTCCAGTTACCCATTAGTAGAATTACGTCCCTTCCTGATGTTGCATCTAACACCTCTTATAATTAGCCATAGAATTTCTCAATGTCTTCCTTCATTTTGTAGGTGCACAGATTTGTATAACATTGATGTTTACTTGATAACCACTAATTCTGACAAATATGTTCCTGCTGTTTATTGGATTATAGATGAACACATATTTGGCGATGCCCTTTTTCAGTGTCATTGCTGCTTCATGCCTTTTTATGGACTCATGCCCTGAATAGTATATCTTGTAGTCATCTGACTTTAAATGGCCCATTCCAGTCCATTTATTCCTAAGATACCCAATTTGGTACATTTCATTTCCACTATGACCATTTCAAGCTTTCCAGGGTTCATGCTTCTGTGATTCCACATTCCAACTGTATGTGTCCTTGTAAAATAAGGAATTCCTTCTTCAGTCCAGGCACCATCAGTGACCAGACTTCCTTGCAGCTTTGGCTGGAGCACATCATCACCTCCAGATCTATTCACAAAAGTTGTGCATTCTTCTCTGGTAATTAGAGGAGTGTCTTTTGATCTGTATCCATATCATTTAAATGTTATAGCCATGTTTTTTCATTGTCACCTTCTGGGTTTCCTTTGGAGATTCTTATTCTAGGTGAGTTGATGTCCTTCCTGCCTGCAGAACCCTACCTATCCTCCCCTTCTTAATGGACTGCTCTTGCCTTCTGCCCCTTCTTTTGACCTTCTGTCAGCCCTCCAGGGTAGACCAAGCTTGGAAACCAAAGACACGCAAGCTACTACTACTTTTATAATAAGTTTATAATAAGATAATCTTGCAAGTCTGAATGTGCTTCCCCTCTCCCTCCCTTTATCTTTGTGAGACCTAGGGAGGGTCGCATCTGAGCCACTTTCTCAAATTACTTTTCTGCCCCAGACTCAGATTTCTTTTATCTGACCATTGTCTTGGTTGCAGCTCTTCCTCCTGCTTTTCAGAATTATTCCTTCTGCCCATTATATCTTCTCATCAAGTGTGTGACCCTATAAGGAGCTCCCATTCCCACCGACATGGCATTCAGGGCTATTGGAGCTATTGAGACCTCCCACCACATCAGTATTAAATGAAATACTTTAAAATATATTT